AAGAGGCTGGATGTGGCACTTAGTGCCGTGCTGTGGCTGATGTGGTGGTGTTGGGTCATGGGCTGGACTTGATGATCTCAGAGGTCTTTTCCAGCCTCAACAATTCTGTGATTCTGTGATTCTTTTCTGTGCATTTACAGATGCCTAGCAACGTGACACTTGGATGTTTAGGAGTAATTCTGACATTCTTACTTCAAAATACCTATCTGAATCAAGAGGAACCATTGGACAGATTAACTAGCAAGCATGACTACAGTGAAATTAATTTGATTGGTTCCAATGCAGGATTTTAATTCAAGCAAAACACCTCAAGGAGCAGGCTTTAAATCGGTGGTTTACGGAGGAGAATATCTTATGCATGCTCTGTATTAGTGAGTGGCTATCAACAGGATGAGAGGCAATGTCCTCAGGTTGCACCAGAGGAGGTTTAGATTGGACGTTAGGAAAAATTTCTTCACCAAAAGGGCTGTCAAGCACTGGAACAGGCTGCCCAGGGAAGTGATTGAGTCACCATCCCTGGAGGTATTTGAAAAACGTGTAGATGTGATGCTTAGGGGCACGGTTTAGTGGTGGACTTGGCAGTGTTAGGTTAACTGTTGGACTCTGATTTTGATTTTAAAGGTGTTTTCCCACCTAAACAATTCTGTGGTTATTCCGAGATGCTGTGTTTTGCTTTGCAAATTGTGTAATACAGACATGTAGGTGTTTGACACGGATGGATTTATAGTGAATTCTCGAACTTTCTCAAATGTGAAAGAATCTGTGTGTGTGTTTCCTTCCTAATTTATCTTCTGTATTCCATGCCTTACTGCAGGTAGAAGTCAAAGCTATTCCTGTTTCTCAGAAAAAAACATCTTTGCAACAAGAGCAAGTTAAAAAGGTGCAACGGATACCAGGGAGTCCTGCAACAGCCGCTTCCCCTAGCGGTGATATGACCTTCGGAGGACTTCCTTCACCGAAGCTTGATTCTTCCTATGAGCCAATGATAGTAAAAGAAGCTCGATATATTGCTATTACAATGATGAAGGTAAATTACTGTAATTTTAACAATATAACTATAAAACTAAGCATTCCGAATGTGTAAAGGTGTGTTAGAGGAGAAGGTAAAAAGCGTATTTCAGTTTGATCACAGTCTAAAAATACATTAATTACAAATTACTTTGATTATATTTAAGTTTGCAAGAAAAACAAGTGCATCAAACGGGACAATTACCTGAGCTCTAAAGCAGTTATAAACTGGATTAGCATTTAAAAAGAAAAACTTTCTTTAGTTTTGATTACACTGATTAATAAACTAGTTTGAGTCACTCAGGAGGCATGAAAACAGCTATTGAACTGGTGAAGAAGTCAAACCAGTGTGTTCATATAGAGTGTTGCAGTGAATCTAAATTAAAAATTAGAATTGTGAACACAGAAAAAAAACCAGAGCTCAGCATAATAAAAAGGTCATACAAATGATTTGTGTTTCAGTGCATAAATATTAAACAGCATCTGTTGAAATTTCCCATTGTCAAATGGATCAGCTGAGGGACTTTGCCAGGAACAGTTTTTAAAGAGGTGAAAACTGAACAGTTAGTAATGATTTGAGTATATTTTGGCACCTGTGGTAAATTCACGTATATATAAAATACTGACCCAGTTAAGAGATGGGACGTGATGTGTATGCCTAGTGATTGCAGAGTTTAATGGAAATTAAGTTAATGAGAATCAGTGGAATATACCTCGGTATAGAAGGAATTTTTTCTTCACTTTGAGCAGAAAGAAGAAGGATCCAAAATTCCATTGGTAAATCCACTGGGCTGCTTTGCAGGTTTTGACCTGCAACATACTGGTTTTCTGACCTTCACATGGTCTTCAATGTACTACTTGCATTCAGAGGCTTTTTATGCAAGTGAGATTAGAAGAGATTAAAAGACTTGACTGTGAACAAAAGTTTTTGTTAGTAATAACTATCTTCATGATCTAAATAGTCTGTTTAAAGAGGAAGTGAGGATAATTTTTTCATTTATGTGTATATATGTCTGTGTTTCTCTTGCTGTGTTTTGGAATTTGTTTCTGGTTCCCTGATGAATACTTGCAGTGAATATAAAGTTAAAATGAGTGTATTCTTAAAGAAAATATTCTGCTTTCTTTTATTCATGACGACAGTATAACTGATAACTGTTGATTTTACATTTGTTGAACTGAATCTGTTTTATAGGCATATGAAAATTACTCTTTTGAAGAACTACGCTTTGCTTCACCAACACCAAAGCGGTAAGTATTTTAAAATTACTTTTTAATAGGGACTTAAATTAAAATATCCTGTCACTCTTGCGTGCACCCAGACTCACAAGACTGCTGGATAATCTTTTCTAAGGGTAGAAACACAGAAATCGTGTATTATTATATTTATTCATAAATATACAGATTTTGTTTTAAAATCCTTAATTCTTAGTTGTTCTAGTGTTGATTCCTTGTTTGTATTGTTTGCTCTCTGACTGTGTTCATTCATCATTTGCTATAACTAACTGTGGCATAAAGAATTATAACTTCATAATAAACAATATGGGATTAGTACTTTGTACGGGGGGAAAAATGATATTTAGAAGATCTGACAGATAATTTCCAAACTGAGTATTGCAGATGATTTCAATAGGACAATAATTGTTTAATGATTTTGATTGTTTTTTTTATGCCTAGACCCAGTGAAAACATGTTGATCAGAGTCAATAATGATGGTACATACTGTGCAAACTGGACTCCTGGAGCTGTTGGTCTCTATACCATTCATGTTACTATAGACGGCATTGAAATAGGTACTTAATTTTCACTACACTAAGCATAAAATTATAGTGTATCCACCTTGTTTATAGTGTATCCACCTTGTATATGGCTAAATGTATGTCTCAGTGCTTATAAGATTTATTATTACAGTCCATTGCAAAACTTAACCCCCAAGTTTTGCTTCAGAAGTGTTCTAATTCCTTCTTTCTCAAAAGGAGAAAAAAAAAGCCAAAACCAACCACAAAATACTACAACTATTCTCTCATGTATATAGGGATATATGTGGCAAATTGTGTTTATACTGTGATTAGACTACCAGATTAATAGAGTGTCTTATTCTCTGCTCTCAGCGTGCAAGAACGATGTCTTGTTTCAACTGAGAGTGGCAGAGATGTGTAGTTAAAGGCGGGGGCAGGGGAAGAAAGGCACTTAATGCTGAGGAACCTAAGAAAAGAGGAAATTGTTCCTGACCATGCAGGAGTAAACAATGTCATTTCTGCTGTAGAAAATTTGGAACATATTTTCCTAACTGTGACTCTACACTAAGTCTCAATTATTTGTGCTGATCTTTAAATGTTTTGGCTTTCCTCCGTGCTGAAAATCTTTTAGCTGTCTTGCTGGTCCTAGGGACTACTCTATGAGATACTATAGCATGCAACACAAAGATTCCCCCTCCAGAAAAAGAGACTACATCTTGAATACTCTCTTGTTAGTTTTACTGGTGATATGGAGTGAGTGACAGGAGAGAGACTGAAGGCCCAGATCTGGTAGGAGGGTTTAGGTGAGTTCACCAGCACCAGCAGTTCCTCTTTCCCAATAGCGTACAGCACCTTTTGTTGCAGAGGAGCCCCAAAGAGGAGATACAGGGACTCTCTGAAACAACACCTCAGTTTTGGCCATATTGACTGCATCAGTGGTTCACTCTGGCCTCCAGTCGGGAGATGTGGAGACACACCATCCATAACGCTGCTGCCTTCTTTGAAAATGCACATAGAATTAGTCTCGAGGAGAAAAGTCAAGGCAGAAAGAATCATCCCTCACCAACACCGCCTAAGGAGACTTTCCGCTGTGCCTTTTGCAGCCGGACTTGCCTATCTCGCATCAGCCTTTGTAGCCATCAACGCGCTTGTAGCAAGTGTGGGTAGAGCCCTTCCCATATCTTTGTTTGCGAAGCCTAGCCATGATGATGGTTAAAGGTCATTGCTTCTCAAACAGGAACATTTTCCTTTATGGGAAGCTCCAGTGCACTCAACTGTGTGTTTTTTCCAGGCTGCCGTCACTGGATACAAACTTTGCACTGTAGTTTAATTAGCTGCTGCCATATTTTTACATGAATTCTAACATCCTCAATCATTGTGTAGGTTTAACTTTCAGAAATGCTAGAATACAATAATAATAACTTTGATTATTAATTACCTATGCTGTTTTTCTTGAATGTAACTTCTGTTCTGGTTCAATCTTATCTTACTATCCCCTCTCAGGCTTTCATGTAGTTATGCTTAACCTATGATTCTGTCAACTTATAACTGCTTAAGTAGTGGTCGCACTTTGTTTCTTGTCTTTTTCAAACCTTTTATGTTCTTAATACTTCTAGATTTCTTCTGTTACTTCCACATTTCTTTAAAAGAATGGTGCTGAAGCCAACAGTTCTATTGCTAGGTCTGGCTGCTTCTTTTCAAGTTGTTGCTCCTCAGAGGATCACCCTATAAAACAAAACAAAAAATCGCAAAAGATCTAGTTTGGCTTTAACAGTGATTGCTGAATTAATTTCTTTTAAGATTATTATGCAAGGTTATATCCATCTGTTACTTAAGTTTGAACTGTTTCTTTACGTGCATTTTTCTCAACAATCTGAGTATGTTACCGAGGTGAGATTATTTTCCAGTAACTTGTGATGTTATAACAGTGCTGCTAATTAAGATGCAAAATTACCTAATAGTGCTGTGCACACAAGGTGTGACAGATATCTGATAACATAAAATTCTATGTTTATGAATCTGTAAAATATCAAGATACACATGTTGATAAAGTAATATTATGCACCATGAAGTAACTGCAAGCGTTGTTATGGCAGACGGATAAGTGAATTGTTTTCCCTACTCTGCGTTGTAGCACAGGTGAACTGTAGTTATGGATTGACTGTTGTATCCTGTTTGTACTTATTTTTTTTAAAACTTAGTCTTGTTTCCTTGTAGATGCTGGACTAGAAGTGAAAGTAAAAGATCCGCCAAAGGGAATGATACCTCCTGGAACCCAACTTATTAAACCAAAAGCAGAGCCTCAGCCAAACAAGGTGTGGAGAACTTATAAAAGATACCAAACAGCTAGTTAAATTTGGGTGGGATTTTATTGTTGTTTAATCCAGACTTTATCATGTTATAGTAGTGCAGGACTTAAGCATATTTGCAAGTTAATTTAATGTGCTGAATGGAATGAAATTAATATATTGGATAAAATGAAAGATATTAATTTAGATTTATTTTGTCTTTTCCATTAATAAACCTATTAGAAACTGCCTTTGTCTTGGCTTGTCACACAAATGTGGTGAAAATATTATCAAAGCCACAGTTCTTTTTCTATGAATAGTTCTTTTTCTTTTAAGTTGTGCTATGAAATTAATTATACGAAAGAGTTTACAAAGATTTTGTTTGGTTTGTGATAAGCATCTTTCTTCAGTCAATATAAAGTTCAAAATTAGTTTCTGTAGTGATAATTTCCTTTCTTAGAATATTGTGATTTTATTTTTAAAAGTTACCCTTTCTGTAGCTTTTGACTTCCCCATTTCACTGTGTCATTGCACCCTGAAAGACTAAAGTAGACTCAAATAATGGAGGAAAGCTGAACGGTGGTGTGGCAGCGCTATAAGGAAAATGCCCACATGAGGAAACTGTCTTCCATTCCTCTTAGATGCAAAGGAAGGGCTTTCAAATGAGGTGCTGAATCTTTTTTTCATGAAATAAACCTCTATTAAAAACTGTGGAATTCTGACATACCACAAAGCTATTCTCTCATGCCTTATTACAGCTGCAAAGGTGGCTAAGAAATACATGGTTGCAAAAAGGATCAGGTGTTTGCCAGCTTCTTATCTCTACAACACTTCCTAATTTATATTTTCTAGCTTTATTTATATTTAGAGACAGTTACTTTGTTGTACAGTTCCCCAGTCTGTAAAGGCATCCAGTGTCTGCTTCTGCCACTAACAAGATTCTTTTCCCTGCACCCGTGCCTCAGAATAAAAATAATAAATTTTAGTTACCACACAATTTTTTTTTTATCCCTCATTGCATTTATTTATTTTCAAAAAGTATTTTTAGGCTTTCTCCCTGGAAGGAAGGCTTCAACTTCTTAATTAAAACTCCCAGTTCCTACTGGATGAGGTTCATCTCACAGAACTTAATGGTATCTCCATCCAAGCTGATCATCACATATGTTGTTTGTTGTCACTAAAGGGAGAGAGACTTCTGGTATAAGATGAGATAAATTGCTGGATGGAAGTACTGCTTGTCTTTTCAATTATTTCAGTGGGAATTGAGGTGACTGTTTCATATGAAGTAGCTACATTTTGTCAAGAAACAATCTTCATGATAATTAAAAGTATGTGACAAAAGTTAGGCCTCTGGTCTTTGAAGGCGTTACCTAGTGTTCAATCATCTCCCTGTGTTGTTCTACTTACATGTCTTTTTCTAAGTTGTAGTCTCTCTGAAAGAGGAGCTTTCTGTCCTATATATAGTGTCTGTAGAGTCTGACTCAAAAATACACTAGACATTTTATCAATTTATTCATTTTATTTATTTTATTTACGTATTCAATTTCTTTCATTTTATGAATTTCCTTTCTTCTATATCATAATAAATCACATAAGAAATCAGATTAGAATAATTCTTTGTGTGTGAAATGCAGTATTATAAATATTACAGAAAGGCCATTATTGCACTGTACTCCCTGATTCTGAAGTCAAGAATACAGATTAGATATGTATCAGAGACAGTCCAATATACCAAATCATGTTTCAGTGAGAAAAAAGGACTTAGTTGAGTTCTAGAATCTTCTTCTTTTTTATTTTTTGGATAGTTTTAACTAAAGAACATGAGCAGCACATTCTAAGTGTTGATCTGTTCTCAGCTAGAAGCCAAAATATTTTCACTGAGGCAGTAGAGCATTCCTGTTTTGTATTCAAGTGACTCACAAGATGTAAAATGGGTACTATGTTGTAATTTTGCATTGATTTCTTCTTCCTTTGCTATTTGAAGTCAGATGAAAATGTGATTTCCCTGTTCATCCAAGTCAGTAAGGGAGATTATGGTAGTGTTCTGTGTTCAGCCTGGAGTATGTGACCGATAAGAACTTCTGCCTCCTCATCGACTGTGAAACTTAACTAATTTGTAGCAAATACTATTTGTAGCAAGTACCACTGGATGTTAGGAAGAAGTTCTTCCCCAT